TAATTATGACTAAATCCACTCCAAGTCTGCCTACATGGAATCGGTTAACTGAAAAATATGATGCGTATTTTACTTTGCCCAAGCCAAGTTCGACAGGAGATATCGGACAACATTTGTATTATATAGAGATCTTAATGTTACTAAAAAGCCGTTTTAACGAGTATATCGGGCGGAATCCCGTTCTTGAGATTATCGCGTCACAAATAGAAGCTTTTACAGTAAATGACATATGTTTCGATAAAAAATAGCAACTTTTGTTCAATCTTCTGAACAGAAATTAATTCTAAAACAAACTACGTCGAAAAAAAAATCAAAAAAAAACATTTCATGTTTATTTAGATGACTTCTTATTTTCAAAATTGAAATTTTAACATTTGTGATCCTAAATATTCAGACTGCCGTTTTTGTTTCACTTCACGAGAATCACACGCTGTAATAGATTTTAACAAAAATTATCTCTCTTTAGTCGATAATCAAAGCCGCACATTTTATGTAATCATTTATTGATTTCTTTTTTTTTCTATGAACAATAATGAATTGTAACGCTGTCCTGTTAGTTTTCTTCAGAAGAAGATTTTCAATTTAAAATACTTTTCATTGACTCATAAATATATGTTCATATATTTGCTTTCATAATCAAAGTAGTTTACCACCAAACGAAGATATTCAACTATCTCATTTTCGTTATTTTCTAGTAAAAAATGTATGTCATTGTCATTGAATTATAATATTTCTAAGTCATTCTCATTGATGAAAAAATTAACTTAAGCACACTAATTGTACTGTTTTAAACGAGAGGCAACAAAACGGATGTTAAAATATTTTTACTCAATAAACCAAGATTATTGAAATGAGTTTGTACAACATAAGCTATCTCGTTATAGATTTAAAAAAGTAAATAGAAAAAGATCAATGTAGCTGAAAAAAGTTTAATCGGAACAAAATAATTATAAGGAATTTTGTATAACAAATCGTTTTGAGTTTTTAATGTAACTATTTGTGTAATATTCAATTTGTCAAAAGCGACCGAAAAACGTGACTCCGCCCTCAACACGATCTATCAAAAAAAACATTAATCTTTTCCTTAAAATTTAATTTTAATGACTTTTGAGAAGCCATACAAAACAACGTGAAAGGCTGTATAGTATGCGGTGATGCCAATGCAAGAAAATGATTATTCATACAATAACTTTTTATAATATCATTAACATTCTCAATGGAGAATGGAATATTGGTGAACTTTGATTCGATTTTACCAAGTTTAAAATGGATTGAATAATGGAACAATCATATTTGACATGATATGTCAACTGAACTATATTTGATATATCATCATATTTTGTTGAGGTAACTATTTAATAAAGATATGCTTTATCTGAGCCGAGTATATATTTGTGCAATAATTCTTCGGAGTACTATCACTAGCTTTTTTCTATTTTCTTCAGTACGTTTCTTTTCTCTGTGTCGAGATCTTTTACAACCAATCCTTTTTTTCGAAACCAAGTCACTGACTCTTTGTCGCTTTGTCACCGATCAAACGAATGTTTGATTCATTATCTATCTTTAGTGAAACTTTCCTCTGTAACCTAAAGAATGTCATGATAGGACTTCAACATCAGCCTTATCGTGTAATTAAAAGCGATACTGATCTTGCACTTTCTATCTACCAATTTATCGAATTGAATACGATAAGTTGTCTAGTGATAAACAATAGCAGAGTGAAAAAATTACACAGGTTCATCTTCCATGCAATAAAAGAAACAATCATTCAAGAAATATACTGATCAACGTAACAAACAATAAATAATGCGTTAAGAATTGTTCAACAGAAAGTCTCTCATCCATTATAAAAAATTAAATAATAACCAAACGATTTTCCTTTAAACCTCTACTTTACTAAATAAATCAAGAAATTCCATCCTCTTTGAAACCTGTTCTGCCTACTCTGAAAAATAATGATAATACAGTCATTATCCCGAAGATCATTACAGCAAAACAACTCAAATTCCTCAACTTTTAATATATCGTTATATCGTTAGGGTAACGAAGTCATTACCCCAAAGGCCACTTCGCCGGATGAAATGCGTCAGAGTTTTTCGATTGATTTGGATCGAAATGTATCTTAATTATGGCTACTAAAGCCATTACCCGGTGTGAAAGGATTATGCCATCATTCAATTATTCGGCAATTCGGCTCGATTTCGGTCTCTGGTTCATATTAGTAGTACATGAAATTTCAGGATATCTCCATCATTTTCTTTTCGTTTTTTTTTGTCATTTTTTGTAACATCTCTGTTGTCAGGTTTCTGCTATTTAAGTTGTAAATGATCGTATAAGATCGAAAATGTCCGTATTATGTTAAAATAAAAAGATTTTTGCATTTAAATAATTCTGTATTTGTTGATTTATTAGAAATTGCAATAAAAATCTCATCTTTAATCACATTCATTCCTGGATAAGATTTATTATGAATCTTAGTAAGATCGTACAACATCATCTGAGAAAAATATCTGAACAGGAACTTGAATAAATCCAGAATCAAATCTGACAGGATCCTTCAAAGCTGCCTGAAGAAAGGAACAAGACTCAGTGGACGAACGAGTAACCTATGAAGATCTTTCCTAAATTCTTATGTTGTCTTGTCAAGATTCTGATTATGATTGACCTTATTTTTGTAAGGTTTGAAAACGCATATTCTTGAAAAGCTCTGAACAAGATCCTAGTTGAAGCTTTGCGGGATTGATCAGTTTCGTCTTCTGACTAATCTTGTTATTTTCTTGCCAAGATATTCGCCTAATGTACACTGTCACTCATGTGGCAGGATTCTGAACTCATGAATCAGAAAACATACCTGAGCAGGATATTGGGTAAAAATTGATAGGATACTAAAAGATTCTTCCAGGGTTTCTTAAGGAATGAACATGATTGAGAGTAGAGGTGCTACTGAGATGAATTGATACAATATTTATGAATTCAGCAACTCAATTGTTGAAATAACTAGTCAAAACGTCAAATAGTTGATTGAAATTCGAAATAGTTCGTGAGATCTGTATGTCTATTTGACTCAAATTTGAATTTCTACGTGTAACGTTCATCACTTATGGTAGCAGCTGTGCGTGATTGTGTACTGATAAAAGTTTTCGACCACCACCAATAGATTTATAATATAATAAGACTAAATTATCACTTTTTTCTTGAAAATTTTTTGTCACTGGTCTATTGAATAATGCAAAATTGAACAATATAGATGATTTTATTTTCAATCAATGCAATGCAATTATAAATTGTTTTTAAATAAAGTATAAGTCGAATCAAGTGAATTATATCAATTCAATATAATTATATATAGGCGTTTTTCTAATGCTCTAGTCATGTTCTGTCATAGAAGTATAAGTGATAATGACTATTTGCATAGCTATTGATATAAAAATTTTGTTTTCTAATTCATTTTCAACAAGCAATCAATAAGAATAGTAAAACTTAAACGCAATAATAATGAAGCAACAAACAGTTTTGGCGTTGTTCATTCTATTTGTTGAACTCATAGCGATAGTATCATCAAGTGGTCACTCATGCAAATGTTGTTTCATATTATTAAGTCCAACTTGTCAGACACGATCAATCCAGTCATGCTCAGAATGTAACAATGATTGGTGTGCAAAAAATGTTGGATTTTGTGCTGGAAGCATTCCACCTTACTTTGGAAGATGTGAGGTTTGAATGGTAATCAAAGGGTCAACAGTGAATTTTTTGAACTTGAAGCTAGCTTCTCATTCCGTCTCTTCTTTTTTATCAAAGACTAAAGCGACCCAAGAAACACTCTTAACACGAATAAATTTCGCAATCAAACCTCAATCGAATTCAACGAAAGAAAATGTGCATAGTCAAGACAAAACAAAATAGTCGCCTACTTTTCCTCCTCTAGTTTTCACAGCGCTTCAGTGGAATACCAGACGCTTGAAGTTGTTTTGAGCTAATTCAAGTCGTGTACTTGGAAAAAGTACTTTTTAAGTTCGAGCCCATGATTTTTCCATTGATGTTAATGCGCAAGTATATCTACTTTATTTCTTTTCGGCCACATTAATTAATTTTTTCATCTGACTGTGACATCATTCAATGATAAAACTAATAAAAAAACATCGATTCTGTCGACCGAAGCAAAACTTATGCTCAACAGCACTGGCACGGATGTCAGCGTCTACACTCGTTCTAAATCTATTTCAAATATATATATAATAAAGAAAAAATGTGACAATGAAACAGTTTTTTTTCATCTTTCGATTATAAGCAAATGCACTTCCATCAATGACACATTAAGGAAATCTGACAGCAATGGACAAAATATCAGAAAACTAAAAAAGACTTCTAATAATAATACGATTATTAGGAGCATCGGCATATTCTTGTCATTTGTCAAAGCAAGACACAAAAACTGCCTTCAGTTTAAGATATGTTTACAAAACATTTATCCCGGTAGGTAGGTGTCTTGTTCGATTGTAAGATACGCTGATAATTCATTTACGTCTAAGTGATCGCTCTGGGCCTATCGCTTTGAAGCACTGAATAAAATGAATCCATCTCATTGAATCGAGGCAAAAAAATAATATTAATTACGTTACACTTTCTTTTGTGTAACGAGATCAAGTGTTCAGAAACAACGCGCCCATTAAAATGATCAATAAATTCACTTTTTTTTTCATTCATACACATCCATCTATATTCTAATTAATAATGTATACTATTTTAAAAGAAATTCGCTGTTAAACATCTAGATCTTTCTATTATTCAAGTATGCTTCTGGAAATTAAAAAAATGTAATATGATATAAGTTCATCAGAATGAGACATCCTTTTTTTGTATCCAATACTTTCTCATTAATGAATACAACAGAACTGAACTTTAACATAGATCCGTTCAATAAATATGACAGTTTACTTTGGTGAAAAATGCATCAAAATAAATGTATAGTAATCCTCCCAGAAGAACTGCAAATTGACAAATTAAAAATTTGACTGTTTCTTTGCAATATTTGATGGGAAATTCCCTGTAGTACTATTACTTGATATGCCCAGTGCTTGTCGTAAACGAGTTAATGGTCGGACATGTTGTTTTCTAGCTTGCTCCATATAAATCATTGCTTTGAATGCTCGAACACCATTATCGTCAACATCACATGCAAAACGTCTTGATTCAAAACGGCCCTTTTCACTATTAACGCTTGTACTTGATGGTAAGTCATTGGTTGAACGCGCCCATTGTCGATTTATCGGAATCGGTAAACAGGCAGTATTGTATTCTAATAATGTTCTATCTTGTGTACGATGTAATTTATTGGTTGATAAAAACTGTTTTCGCTTTGCTTTGTTACCCGATAGATCGACGCTTGAGGGACATGAACGAACATTAGTATCTGCTCCTGTCAAATTGGAATCAGTAGAACGTTGAAGAAAGGCGGCTGTTGCTGACGAACTACGTCGAAGTAGCGGTGGTGGTTTTAATCGATCAATTTTTACAGACTTCGATGCGACAGTCATTTTTAGTTTTGCTGATAATGAAGTTTTTGTTGGTGATGACGATATTACCGATAATCGATTAATTGTTTGTTCGAGAAAACGAATACGGCCGATAAGGAGAGTATTAAAATTAGTCAATAATTCTTCACGAAGTCGAGCTAAACGTAATTGTGTTTCTCTCCTCACACATAATTCATTTGTACAACATCCATTTGCCATAGTTCCAACAGTTATTTTAGTACGGTACGAACTGTTTAATGACTATGTAGATGAATCTCTTTTAGTGTGCTTATGTACTTGATGGTAAAAACTAGCAATAGAGATAGAGAGAGGGACGAACAAAAAAAAGCGCAATTAAGAGTGATCACAAGTAAGACGACACTGTAGAAGAAATGCGAGAGATGTCAAAAAAGAAAAAAAAGAGAGGGAGAGCTAACGGTTTAGATTGAATCAGTCTTAGTAGTAGAGCGCTTCTTTCTCTAGTTTTTCGTTTCTTTCCACTTACCGAGTATGTTGTACTGAAGTACACTCCATTTATGTTGCGCGTTCGCAAGCAAGCGTCTTAACGGCAACAAACAACATTATTTTATCGAGTAGAACGTTATTTTCTCTCGATGTTCTATCTCTCCATATATATATCTTCTTTTTTTATTATTATCTCTTCCGTTGTGTAAGCAATGAAGACTACAATGGCAGTCAACAGCGTTCTTTATATTAAAGATCAAAAATAAAATTAATGTGTATGTGATCTGTCATTCTGATGATCAGCATTGACTTTTACTTAAAACATCGATAATATTTTAGAAGTATTTTTCATACGAAAGTACTGAGATATTAATTGACTATTCGATTCATTTATTAATAAGTATCTTTTCAAATTGATGAAAATTACACAGACACAATTTTGTACTTTGCAATTAAATAAAATTATTTCAAAAAGCAAAAAGATATATTTTTCTTAAGTATAAAATGTAATTATTCGAATGAAAGATCAAAACAATCGATGGCGGGGCATCTATCATTGGCGCGGTCATATATCTTTTTATTATAAGTGTATGATTTTGCCGCAACTGCATCCGAAAGAAACCGGGTGGAATTTGATTGATAATTAAATATACATATTTTTAGATTTTCCAACTATTCTCCTCTATCATCGAAATGATCTCAGAAACTTGTGCGTAACAAAATTTGATTCGTGGAGTCGTAAAACAGCATGTCATATTTTTCATTGATTTAATTATCGATTCAAATAAAAATAATATTTTTTAATTCGAAATGTGATTTATCATAGAAGCCTTCAGCAGATGATTACATCGAACTAATAATTGAATTGTAAGATTTGTTATGTTCGCACTTCGAAATTGTCGTTATTCTAATGGATTGACCACATTTAAGTTATCCAATATGATAGAATTCGGAGTGTGTTTTTTGTCGATTGAGTTTTGTTAACAACAACGTCTAATCATTTTCCAAGATCATCAAATCTATCAAAAAATATTTCTGAAAAAAAGAACAATTCAACATGTTGAAAGCGATAACAAAACAAAATGTAAGAGATGAAATTGATCAGAATGAATTTTGTATTCCCTACCTAGGTCAGTCGATACGATTCGAGCAAGAATCTACATTTTAAACTACAGGGCTACCTGCAGAAACTATTTTTTGAAAACGATTCATCAGTTGAAGAACTTGTTTGAAATGAAAAGCCTCACATAAAGTCTATGTATCTTCGGTTCCTAATGCAGAAACTTTGTAATCCGTTTTTCTTTCTTGATAGAGTTTATTCAGATCTGCTTTCCTAGTAAAAACTTTTCTCCTTTTCTTTCAAGTCAGACAACAACTACTATAAATTATCATAGATTGTCGTGTTCTATTAGAATTTTCAAGCGTAAGATGAGATCATCGCTAATAAATATGCAAATAGGATGCCAATAGAGCGAAAAACTATTGAAATAAGTATTCATAAATATTCTAGCTTCAATTATTATTTACACACATGTGAATCAAAGAGCCGAATATTACCTTTGTAGCAGATGATTCTCGATCATTGTTGATCAGTTCTACCTGCAAATAATTTTTCACTAATAATCGCCATGAATGTTCGGTCTGATGAGAGATTCAAATCAACATAATGATTAATAATATTAAAAACAAAAAAAAACGGTCATGGGAATGACTAATGGGGGGTTTCCAAAGGCAATTGATAACCCATCAGTCTTCGGACCGCATTCTCTTATAATGTGGAATTTTTATTTAAGGTGAATTTCATTTGACGTTGTGCAATAACACTAGATGAAAAGGAAACTATCGTGAGTAATTTTATGTCATTGAATGAAGTCACCATTAGTTTTTCGTCGAGACTTTATTTGCTATAGAGCAAAAGCACAAAAGCTTTCATGACATGGGTTATTATCAAGTTATTGTTCTAAACAATTACGAACAAGATTAGTGGGTCCCTACAGGAAATAATTCATAATCCAAATGGCGGAACTTCGATGGATTCCGGTGGCCGGATATCGTTAGATATTCATATAAATTTTCATCTTCGACTATGTTGGATGATTAGATCGTACGAGTTCAAATGATCGATGTTGAATTTTTTCTTGTTATTGTTGTTGTAATCATCGGTGGTCCAACAGAATCAATTGTTGTGACTATATTTTCATCTGGAAAACAACTATTCATTACTTCTTTACTCTTTTCAAACTCATCGATCTTAGAACGTAATAATACAAACTGAGATTTTAGTCGCATTTCTTCATACGATAATTTCTATAGGCTTCAAATTGATGATTCACTACAAGTTTCAATACTTCAAAGTAAAGCCTGTGAATAATTGTGTCTGTTGGCGTAAAGTTCTACTGTTAAATAATATTGTATCTGAAAAGAAACTAAAACAAATAGAAGTTGCGTCGATGAATTCACTGATAATCA